CAGGGCCCGCGTGCACGTCGGCTGCGGGCCATGCCCCAAAGGCGCGGCGCCTCGCTTTTTGCTCTTTGCTAATCCAGCCATCCAGCCACGGAAGATCAGCGGGGCCGCTTCAAAATCGTGCGCTTCGGCACGGGCAAGTGGCAAACCCGGGCCCCCATCGCGTCGTGAGAGATGCGACGGACTTGGGTTTTTCCGTACATTTGGCTTTCGGAGGCCTTTACTTGGCCTCGAGGCCGTCAAAAATCGATTGGGGATGAAAAGATGGTGTTCCCATTGAAAGGGCCCAGGCCTCCACGGGCCCACGCCGCGGCAAAATCGTGACATCGGCGTTGGGGAATGAGTTCCCCAATAACACCATCGACCTCAACATGGCGTTGGGCAGCGCATCGGCGACGCGCAGCATGACCCCGACAGCTACCACGGCGACGAACAGCGCCTCGAGCGGCCCCATGTGCCAGCGGCGCGACGGATGCCGGCAGCGCGGCGGCGCGCACAATGGCTGAGCGCAGCAGCTAGATGCCGATTTCGGCAGCGGGACTTCCGGCGCGCCGCGCGCCACATCGACAGAACGCAGCCTGCCGTTAAGGACGACTTCCTTGGACTCCCGATAAAGAGGTTCCACGGGGGCTCCCAGTACCGCCTCTTTTTCGCGCGCTCTCTCTCTCTCTCTCTCTCTCTCTCTCTCTCTCTCTCTCTCTCTCTCTCCTTTTTTTTGTTTCTCTCTCTCTCTCTCTCTCTCTTTCTGTCTCTCTCTCTTTTGTGACTGTTTTTTGTTTTTCTCTCTCTCTCTCTCTCTCTCTCTCTCTCTCTCTCTCCTTTTTGTTGTTTCTCTCTCTCTCTCTCTTTCTGTCTCTCTCTCTTTTGTGACTGTTTTTTGTTTTTCTCTCTCTCTCTCTCTCTCTCTCTCTCTCTCTCTCTCTCTCTATATATATATATATTGCTCTCTTTTTCTCTCTCTCTCTCTCTCTCTCTCTCTCTCTCTCTCTCTCTCTCTATATATATATATATTGCTCTCTTTTCCCCGGTTCCTCCTCCGTGCTTTTCTGTCGTTCTGAAAGCGAGATGTCCTCTTTGGGATGTTCTGGCCGCCGGCCCAGGATTCGCCGCGCGTCGCTCCAGGGTTGCCACCTGCGCGACGTGCGAGGACCGCCCGCGCGGGCGGACGACCGCGCTGGTCGGCCGCACGACGCGGCATCGGCCTTTCCGCCGCGTTACCGCTCTGTCTGTTTAACTTCGGAGGCGGACAGAATCCCCGCCATGCCAAGGCGATTAGCAAATTGGTTTTCCTGTTTTGAGAAGGCGCTCCGGGCTTGCGCCCGCCAAATTTGGCCCCCAGTCGCATTCAACCAGGACGTTTTTTTTAGACAAGGGCCTCTGAGCATCTTCGACAACTCCTTGTCAACAGAGCCTTTCGGCGGGATGCGCGCGTGGCTGCGCCGTCTGTCCTCGACGAGCCCAAGTGGGCGACGCCGACGGGCGGGGCGCTTCCTGGCGGGCACCAGCGATCCCTTCGACGTTTCATCGCCCGAGCTGCGGAACTTCGCGAACCGCGCTGCTCGGGGCGAAGCCCATCGCTTGGCGGCGCCGGGCAGGGGGCGGACGCCGGCGGCCAGCGGCCGCGGCGCTGGCGGCAGCGACGACGCGGCAGGCGCGCTGCACGCGGGAGGTCTCCCCCGCGCCGGCGCTGAGAACCGCAGCGGCGGTGGCGGCCGCGGTCGCGGGCGGAAAATCAGGGCTGGCGACGCGGCAGCCGCCGCCCCATCCAAGCGACGGGCGCGGGGCCGGGGGCGAGGCCGCCCACCGGCCTGGAAGCAGAGGCCACGCGCGGCGGGCAGATCTTCCCTCTGCCGCCCCTGCGCGAGCTGGGCGCCGACGTCGCCGGCATGCTTGGACACCGAGGTCGGGCACGCGTGCGACGGATGGCCAATGATGGTCTGGCTGCTCTGAATTGGTTGCATGGCGCTGCGAGACGGCGGCCTGGCGCGCCGCCCAGCGGGGCTACGCGTTGCCGCGTGGCGCTGCTGCAGCACGAGACGAAGCGGCGGGCGCGGGCGCTGGCAGCGAGCTGGGGCTCATCCGCCTGCGCGGAGGATTCGCAGCAATGTCTGGCACGACTGCTGCGGGGCCGAAGCGGATGCGCCCAGCTGGTCCACGCGGCGCTGACCCCCTCCCCCCACGCCTGGCCGTCGGTCCTGGAGGACCTGGCGGGCTCGCCGCGCGTCGCGGACCTGCTGCTGGAGGCGGAACGGATTCAGTTGGGGAAGTACGAGGGCCACGCGATGCGTTCGCCCCAGGAGGTGGACAACATTAACGCACTGCGCGGACCAGTTCGACCATACATGGGCCCTGTGTTGAGCCACAAGCGCCCCGCCTACATCGGCCTGGTCAAGAGGTTGTCGAAGATAGGCTTGGTGCGCTTGTCGACCACATGCCGCTGCCAGGCGGGGATCTTCCTCGCCAAGAAGAAAGGCGACCGCCAGCGGCTGATCCTGGACCGCCGGCTGGCGAATCGCCCGTTCAGGAGCCCGCCCGGGGTCGACCTCGTCAGCGGTAACGGCCTCAGCCGCATCGAGAGGTTGACGACGAGCGGCGCTGATCGAGGCGAATAGCTGGACGACGTCTTGGGCGGCCTGGACACCTGGCTCGGCTCGAGCGACGTGAAGGACTGCTTCCACAAGCTGCTCCTGGATGACGGGCCAGGACTCTAGGAGTTCTTCGGTTACCCGCCACTGCGCGCAGCCGAGCTGGGCCTCTCCCGGCCGGGCGGGGTGGCGCTGGATCGGGACACGCTGGTCCACGCGCTGCCAATGGGCTGGACCTGGTCGCTGCACTTCGCCCAGTCTGCCAACGCGCACCGCGCGGCGCTGCTGCGCGAGGCGGGGGGCGCATGACGAACCGCGGGCCGCCGCTGATGCTGGACCGCCCGCGGGCTCTTGGCCGCTACGCCTACGCGGGCAACATCGAGGTGCTGGGCGGCTCGGCAGGCGAGGGCGGCGCTCGAGGCGGCCCACGAGTCTTTCGGGGAGGTGGGGCCGGAGGTGCACGAGACCTCGCTGGCGAACGACGGCGGGGAGGCCCTGGGGGCGCAGCTCAACGGCCGCGACGGCTGCACGCGCCCCACGCCCTCCAGGTTCTGGCGCGTGCGAGGCGCGGTGCAGGCCTTGTTGCGGCTCCGCGAGGTGCACGAGCGGCGTGGAGCGGGAGATCGCGGCGGGCATCTCACTTTCTCAGGCCTGGTGCGTCGCGAGAGCCTGAGCTGTTTCCGCGGCATCTACCGCTTCATCCAGCGTCGTTACTTCGAGAAGGCCGCGCTGTGGCAGAGCGCGGTTGGTGGGCCTGATGATCTTCCAGTGGCTCCCGGGAATCGATCAGTCCGACGCGCCCCTCGACGGCTTCGGCAAGGTTTACTCGCTGTGGGACCCTCGCGACGTCGGCCGGGCGGGCCGCGCGCGCGAGCGATCCCGCTACCGGCTGGGGGCAGGATCCGCGCGGCGACGCGCTGTGGAGGCCGCGGGCCTGGAGCTGCTTGCGGACGGCGGCGTCGCGGCGCCGGAGGCTCGCGCCCGCGGGGCCCCCTGCATGCGGGGACCGCGAGAATGCTCTGGCGTTTCTTTTCGGTCTGTCGCCGCCGAATCCGCTCAGGCCCCCGCCCACACCTCCCATTTTTAACGAGGACCTTTGTGGAGCAGACTCTGTATTCGAATGTGCGTTTCGCTCGGCCTCACTTCAGGCCGCCTTAACCTCAGCAGCGGCCAGTCTCCAGGCTTCGCTCGCAACAGAGTTTATTCGCCGCCGAGAAGAGGACAGAAGAGCATTCACATTTCACCCTTCTCAGGAGGGGAAAAGACAAAGACACAAAGAACCGTCGAATCCCAAGAAAGTATTGGAAAGCATGGGGAGCGCGAGGGGAAGGCGAATCTCCAGAAAAGATTGGACGAGATCGGGAACCCTGGGATGTGTGATTACTTATGCGTGTTCCCATGGGCCATTTCATCCTCTCTGTCTTTCCTTCCTTCGTCATGACCCTGCCCGCGGGGGAGAGAAAGGTGCGAGTGCCGCCAGCAATGGCCCGTAGGTGTACGCACGCGTGTCTTCTTTCTCTCCTGCCGCTCGTGTGGGACGGTTTTGCATGCGCCTGCAGCGAAGTTGTTGGGTCGTTGTCGCATGCGCGAGCTGCGCGCCCTTGTCTTTCCCTTGCCTTCCTTTCCTCCTCTTCGTGGGGTGTTCACCTCTTTCTCCTCCCCGTGGGGTATTCATCGCTGGCCAGTCGAAACCCCGATGCGCACTGCGGGAGAGCATTGTTGTGGCGATAGACAGGACTTGGCTTATGTGACGATTGGTCGAACCCTCCCTCCTGATCCTTTTCATCCTCCCGTGCTCTCCTCCTCCTTCCCCCCGAATTCTCGGGAACACCATGTTCTTTCCAACATATTCATCACGTGCGACAAGGCGGGCCTCTCGCGCGCGCATGTCGAAATCATTCGAACGCCTTGTGTGCGCTTTCTGGGGGGCGTGACGCTTCCTGTCAAATAGCACCATGCGTGCCACTCGCGCCCGTCGGTCGCGCGCGCACATCGAAATTTGCGGAAAATGCCTCCCTGCCCTGACCTCCAGGCTTCGCGGAAAGGTCAAAACAGCCAGCTTCTTCCCAGCTCGGGCTTCCAAGGGGCACCGTTTCGAGCCCCCCTTCTGGGGGCCGTCAGGCGACGGCCCTGGCACAAAGAGTTAGCCTCGCAAAGACAGTCTTCGACTCCAGAGGCCCACGCCTTGAAGAGACCCCCTTCGCCCTCATCTTCCTCCTCCTCCTCCTGTTCCTCCTCCTGTTCCTCCTCCTTTTCCTCCTCCTCCTCCTCCTCCTCCTCTCCTCATCCTTCTCCTCCTCCTCCCTCCTCCTCCTCCTCCTCCTCCTCCTCCTCCTCCTCCTCCTCCTCCTCCCCCTCCTCCTCCTCCTGTTCCTCCTGTTCCTCCTCCTCCCCCACCTCCTCTTCCTCCTCCTCCAGCATCCGCCTCCTCCTGCATCCTCTCTTCTTGGAGCCCCCTGAAGGCCGTCGCGATTCTCGCCTATGCACGCATGCATTTTCAAGACAGCCGCCGTCTCTGCACTCCGGCGAAAGGCCCTGTGTGCACGGCACGTACTGCCTCGCAGTTTGCGCTCCCCCTCCTCGAAATACGTGCAGGAGGGGAGAGGGGGAGCATCAGGAAAGATTGAGAATATGGAGGAGGCGTAGGATAATGGTGATGTTGTTGGTGATGATGGTGATGGCGATAAAAACGATGATGTTAGTACTATTGGTGTGGCCGATGCTGGTAATGATGATGACGCTAAGAATATCGATGATGATGATGACGACGATGATGATCATGATGATGGTGGTGATGATGATGACGATGCTGATGATGCTGATTGTGGTGGTGATTTGATTGTGATGGTGATGATGAGTATGATGATGTTGATGGTGGTGATGATGACGGTAGTGATGACGGTGATGGCGATGATGATGGTGAAAGTGTCGGTGATGGCGACAGTGATGTTGATGTTGATGATGATGGTGACGGTGGTGTTGATGGCGACGGGGATGATGATGTTGATGCGAATGACGATTATGATGATGACGCTGGTGGTGATGATGGTGATGTTGATGCTGGTGTTGTTGATGGTGATGATGATGACGATGCTGCTGCTGCTGGTGATGGTTGTGGTGTTGTTGATGGTGATGATGATGATGCTGATTATGCTAATGGTTGTGAAGATGGAGAGGATGCTGATTACGATGATGATGATCATTATGGTGGGGGTGATGATGATGATTACGATGATGATGATGTTGATGAACATGATGATGATTCTGATTGTGATGACGATAATGGTGATTATGATGACGACGATGATGATAACGACGACGATGATAATAATGTTGGTACTGGTGTTGATGAATATGATGATGACGGTGGTGATGATGATGGTGGTGATGATAATGATGACGATGATGTTGCGGTTGGTGACGGTGGTGGTGCTAATGATGGTGGTGGTGATGATTCTGTTGATGATGACGGTAGTGATGATGATGATGATGATGATGATGATGATGATGATGATGATGGCGATGATGATGGTGAAAGTGTCGGTGATGGCGACAGTGATGTTGATGTTGATGATGATGGTGATGGTGATGTTGATGCCGACGGTGATGATGTTGATGCTAATGACGATCATGATGATGACGCTGGTGGTGATGATGATGATGATGTTGATGCTGGTGGTGATGATGGTGATGATGATGATGACGATGCTGCTGCTGCTGGTGATGGTTGTTGTGTTGTGGATGGTGATGATGATGATGGTGATGATGGTAATGGTGATGAGGATGGAGAGGATGATGATTACGATGATGATGATCATTATGGTGGGGGTGATGATGATGATTACGATGATGATGATGATGCTGATGATGATGATGATGATGATGATGATGAAAATGACGAAAATGACGATTATGATTGTGATGACGATAATGATGATTATGATGACGACGATAATTATAACGACGACGATGATAATAATGTCGGTAGTGGTATTGATGAATATAATGATGATGAATATGATGATGACGGTGGTGATGATAATGATGACGATGATGTTGCGGCTGGTGACGGTGGTGGTGCTGATGATGGTGGTGGTGGTAATGATTATGATGAAGGTGATGTTGATGATGATGATGATGATGATGATGATGATGATGATGATGATGATGATGATGATGATGATGATGATGATGATGATGATGATGGTGGTGGTGGTGGTGGTGGTGGTGGCGGTGGTGATCAGAGCCGCGAGCCGAGGCCCTGCCGCGGCCGAGTGGAACCGTGATGCCGAGAATGCAAGCACATTCGGCGAGCCCACGTCAGGCAGCACAGCTGTCGCCAAAGCCCACAGCCCACGCCGATGCCGTGGCGAGGAAGAGGCCACCAATGGCTCACAGTCACAGTGCACGCCGAAAATGGGGGCGTCCAGGCAGCGAGCTGCCCGAGCAGGGGACGGCGACCCGAAAAGGCAGTACGTACACACGGCGAGCGCATGGCCAAGAAGAAGCTTTGCCGCCTGATCTGGCCAAAGAGCGTCGCATTCACTGCCCTGCTGCCTCAACTGGCCAGGGAGCGACCTCACACTGCGCCCCTAGTTGCGCCAGCCCCAGGTCACTGGCTGCAGGCGCCGTCCTGTCCACCTCGGTGTGTAGGATGAGCCCGATGAGCTCACACGCGGCCGACTCAAGTCGGATGGTGGAGCCTTGTCCACCCCGCGCCCTAAGACGAAGAGGTTGGGGGGGCTCGTCGTCCTCGTCGTCGTCGTCGTCGTCGTCGTCGTCGTCGTCGTCGTCGTCGTCGTCGTCGTCGTCGTCGTTCTCGTCGTCGTCCATGCCCACCGGCATCTGGAGCGCCCTGGATCGGCGGCAGTGGCCAGAGGCCATTACAATAACCGCTGTTATAGCCGATTTCAGCGCTACCTCCGACCATGATACCACCGACAATTATGACAAATCACGGCAACGAGCATTACGAGTGTGAGGGGCAACACGACGACGGGATGCAGCATTATGATGAGCAAGGCCGCGAGAAACACGAGTACCACCACGAGCGCCAAGGCGACGAGCACCACAGAGCATCCGAACCTTGTTGTAACGGTTGCACAGCTCGCGTCGACATTGATTTGGAAACCAATTCTGCCACTTTGGCGGTTGCCGTCCTCGTTGCCAGTATCGACGATGCCGCTCCGAGTCGAGCGTCGAGGCCACTGCTGGGATTACCGCCAACATTTCCAACCCAAAGACCGACGCCCACTCTAGAATCGGCTCCGGGATTGCCTCCACGACCATGCCGGGGGCAAAGAGAACAACTAAGAAAAGGTCGGCAAGGTGGTGGGGGACGTCGACGGTGGCGACCGGGGAGACGGAGGAGAAGGATAGGAGTGAATACGAACGGATGGTATGGGACTCGGTTTTGCTGCAAGGCACGGGTAGTCCACCACGATTTTGGTGAATACGCCATATAGCAATATTTCGGGACAAAAATTCTGTCATGATATTGGGATCCGACCCCGTTGCCTATCTTGCTCGGCCTTCTGATCCCGACCCTATTTTGCCTACCAGTCCCGCTCCATCTCTCATTGCGACTCTGGTTCCAAACCTTCAATTCCGACCCCAACCCCTGCCCGCACAATACACCCATTTCCGTTTCGGGTTTCTGATTGCAGTTCCGGCTTGTCGATTCAATCGGTGACGAGACTTAGCTTTGGATCGAGGGCATTCTCCAAAATCCAAATCCAACCCTGTCAAACAGAATGAGGCGTATCGACTCTCTCTTTCGCATGGTACCCGTATCGGTGAGCCACGCAACCCGTACATTTTTCCGCAAGGTTAAATGTTATCGTTCATCGGCAGTACGTAATTTCAGCATTTTAATCCAGAAAGCCGTGCTTGACGATTAAGTGGCCCCATGACGCCAATGCCAGTTTCCACCACAACTCCGTGTAAGCGAATTCTGACGACCACTCCGACCTCTGCACTCCCGTTACGCGATACTCATGGCTTCCCTTTTCCGTGCCCCACACCACCTTTGTCTCCAGGTCGCACCGTGAGAGACGACCCGCTCCAAGTACTTCCTTTGATCCCGTCCCCTTTTGCTCCTCCTGCCGTCGCTCTCCCGCCCGACGCTGCGAATTCGAGGTCGGCAACATTCCGTCCAGAGGCTCCTCTTGCCGTCGAAGATTTCCGCCAAGCGCCCAATAACACGGCTACGGTGCAATATTCTCCAGCTCCCACCTCTTCCCCCACGCCTGCACCTCCGGGCCAGATAAGCAAGCGTCCGCTCCCGCTCGGAACCACCTTTTGCTTCCACAGCCACCCCCCTCTGACGACCCCAGGAACCGTCAAGAACCCCCGCCCGATTTGTCGTCAGTTTTTGGGCGCCAGGCCGAAGGACGACCAATTGCGGGGGTTGGAAATGATGTTGCGTTGGGCCCGCCTGCAGCGGGTCAACGTCGCGAGTTTGGGGATACAAGATGTCTCTTGTTGGTGCCCAACAAACAAATTACAAGTATGTTTGTGCTAGGCGCTTTGGAACGATACCCTCTGACAGCAAACCGCGACGACGTGCAGAGAGTACTCTGGAGACAAAAGGGGTCAATGTTTAGCGAACATTTTACATGGGCAGGTGCGGCACAAGAAACAACCTATCCCCTACCTGATTGGAATGATTATTATTAAACACATTTGGAACGCATCACACACTAGAGCATCAAGAAGTGTCGCCTACTTTGCTACGGCGAGGTTATATTTTATCTACGGAATACGGTTATTACGTGGGGGATGTGATCTCGAAAACGATGTTTTCAGAAAAATAATACAGCAATTTCAGAAAAAATACCGTTTCCAAAAACGCAACAACCGTTTCAGAAAAAACGTTTGCCGTTTCAGAAAAAGCGGGGACCGCTTCAGGAAAAAAAGATTTTCGTTTCAGAAATAACGGTGCCCGTTTCAGAAAAGGACGTGTAATTTTTGGGGCAATGCCAGTGCTCATCAAATTCAAATTCATACACGCTTTTGAATACCCGGCGGACACTCATCGGACATGGTCCGGCAACAGACATATGAAGAAATATGAAGAAATATTTTTAAGAGCAACAGTTTTCACAGAAGAAGTATAAATAATCGCTTCGAGCGCTATTATTGTTTCCCCGTGCGCCTTCCTACCACTTCCTGCTTTTTACGTCCCACCTTTTTTAACATGTTCTATACCTCTTATGTCTACCTGCATCCGCAGCATTTGGAGCGTCATGCGCGCTTACCGATATATTTCTTTCCATCTACGTCCTTAATTGCACGTTTCCGTACGTGAATCTTCGCGATCACCGCGATACACATTTCTTTGGGTACGTGAGCATTCATATATCTATTTACAAATATGCCGTGCGCTTAGCAGACATATCTCGGCAGATATTTATCATTATCCTTGATCCACTATTCTACTACTACCACTACTACTACTACTATTACTACTACTACTACTATTACTACTACTACTACGACCACCACTACTACTACTACTACTACCACTACTACTATTACTACTACTACTACTTTTACTAC